CACTTTCGGTGTGACAGGGAAGGTGGTAAGGGAGGGGGTTGTCTCATGTACTTTCTGAATGCACTTACTGTATCACAGCTAGAAAGTAGTACACTTAACATGCCTGAGACTCTATGGGTTAATGTACACTTAAATAACGTAACAGCATTAATTGGATGCACCTACAGAGCACCTGGCACCTTTAGTAATTACGAGACCCAACTTATTAATACTCTGGAGCAATTATCCGACTTACAATACGACCATAAGATCCTATGTGGGGACTTTAACTTACCTGAAATCAACTGGGATATACCCACAGGCCCAACTAAATTTGATAAGTTCTTAGGCACACTGGATATACTTGGCTGGAAACAAACTGTCACTACTCCCACAAGAGGTAACAACGTACTAGACTTAATCTTCTGCCACAATATAAGCCCCCTTTCAACGCTAGTAGGTTCTGAGTTTCCAGGGAGCGACCACAAAACAGTGATGTGTGCACTGCCAATTCCGCTGAGTAGCAATGCATCTCATACCTCCACTTCACAACAAGTAATATATAGGAACTATAGTAAGGCAAACTGGGCCTTAGTAGAATCAATGCTAAGATCCTCCAAATGGGATGAATACTTCACTACTGATGACCTATCGAGAGCCCTAACCATCTTCTACCATAACTCAAACACATGCTTAGATGCTGTCATTCCACTCCAAACACTAAAGGTTTCCCCACACAGAAAGTCATTCATAAAACCAAAGGATCGTAAGAAACTGAAGAAACTCTCAACAAGTTACTTCAAACACCACGACTTTGGCACTCTAGGTCTAATACTTAACACCCTTAGCTCCATCTCACAAGCTCGAGATTTCCGTATGAGAAAGGAAGAACGCATCGCAGTAGCCAGTCCTGCTAGAGTGTATGCACTCACAGAAATCTTAAGGAAGCGAATGAATCGCAAAAATCACAGCATTTCTCTCCTCATAGACAAAGGTAGGCTATGCACTAACTCTGCAGACATATGTGAACTATTCAACAAAACGTTTGCAGGTAACTACCTTAAGCCCTCAGTCCAGCTACTCGATATACACCCTATTACTAATATGGCACAAACTCCATCTCCACTCACACCAAACCAAATTAGCACTGTTCAATTCACTTACGCTAATATTAACCAAACTATAAGAACCCTCAAAAGTTCAAAAGGTTTCGGTACCGACGGTATATCATCTTACTTCTATAAATATGGTGGCCCTGACATTCCTCTACTACTGCTTAAAATATTCACAATGTCCCTAGAAACCCAAACTTACCCTGACATATGGAAGACTACATTCATTATGCCTAAACACAAATCTGGCTCGAAAACTGAAGTCAGTAACTACCGGCCGATCAATATCACACCTATAGCATCTAGAATCATGGAGAGACTAGTCAAAGATAATCTAATCAAACATATGCTTAGCTGCAATATTATAAGTCCGAACCAACATGGATTCCTGAAATCCAGATCATGTTTAACATGTCACCTAGACTTCTTCAATTTTGTAACCAGCAGTCGTGACAGACGGCAACTAGTACTTGTCATCTACTTTGACATTTCTAAGGCATTTGACCGTGTTGACCATTTACTGCTAACAAATAAACTGAACTCCTTAGGAATACGTGACCCATTATTAGGATGGCTTAAATCATTCCTTAACAATAGGTCCCAAATAGTTAAACTCGGGTCTGCAACCTCCAAACCTAGCCCTATCACTTCTGGTGTAGTACAAGGTAGTGTCATTGGACCCCTCCTATTTACACTATACATCAATGACATATGCGCTTGCTTCACGCACGGGAAACCATTCATCTTTGCAGATGACCTAAAAGTAGCTTATACATTCCAACGTGATGACTTAGGGAACTTCGAGAATGTAGTACAGAAGGAATTAGATAAAATGGCTGCTTGGTCGTCCCTATGGAATCTCCAATTTAATCTGAACAAATGTGGCTGGATCTGCTTCGGTGCACCCTCAATTGACCTGAAATTAACGCTCCAATCTGCTAACCTAACAAGACTCCGAAGTGTCGTTGACCTAGGCCTGAGGTACTCTAGTGACTTGACATTCTCAGAGCAAGTAGCATCACAGACTAGAAAATCGAGGATGCTCTTAGGATGCATACTCAGGAACTTTCACGACAATGAAGCCAAGCTAATTCTGTACAAAACATGTGTCAGACCACTACTAGAATACTGTCCATTTATTATAAGCAGCACTCGCACACGTGACAAGCTAAGGATGGAAAGTATCCAACGATATTTTACCTCAAAACTGCTTGGCTACGATTGTAAGAAAGACTACATCTCACGGTGCATGATCCTAAAACTTGACCCACTTTGGACAAGGCGACTTATTATAAACCTAATATTCTTCTTTAAGGTCCTTCACAAAATATCTTTCTCAGGTAACAGGGACATACAATTCGCACAGGAAGGTTCTTACGATCTGCGTAACCAAACTTCCACAGTGACAACTCATTCTTTTAAGTCAACACTCCGTGAAAACTTCTTCACAGTCATGTATTCTAAAATATGGAATAGCCTGCCTATAGATATCAGAACTTGCTCTTCGGTTACAAGCTTCAAACGCTCTCTATACAGACTGTTTCACTCTACTGATTATATTAATAAACTATTTACTCCTAGAACGAATCAACTAATCTACTACAGCACCTAAAAGACGCACTTCAACACCCTTAGCAATCTAAAAAATATAAATAAACTAGCAGCATGGATGCATAAAGACTTAGTACGGAACATACAGGATTAGTTTACCCTTAGAAATAGGACGTGTCACTCTATTGTAACCTTCAAACGCTTGCTATATAAACTGTTTTGTCCCAATGACTATCCCTACCAGAACCCATCACTTATTTCTAAAACGCATCAGTCATTAGAACACTAAAACGCTCAGACTCATTAATACACATTATGACACTAAATAAACTCTAAGACTTCGCATAAATACGTGAAAACACAACTAAAATAAATTTTTACTAATGTTATTATACAATTGACATAAACATTTATAATGCATAAAATATTAATGTCCTTTTCATGTTCACATACTTTCTCTTTCTGGTTTTCTGCTGCTCCTATTCATCTTCTGGTCGAGGTCGAACAACCCTGCATCTAAACTGAAATGAGGATTAATTCCAAACCGTCTATCTCATAACCACTCAAATTCCATGAACGATCCAATTCTACCATTTGAAGACGCTGGCGAACATGCTGTAAATGAGTATTCATGATCTGAAATGAAGAAGCAACTGGTTTTCAAACAGTTTTCAACATTTTACTGAACTTACGAATACAGTCCGCCATGCAGACACAAATGGAGCAAATGAGACAGCCTATCGACGGACGTAATTTTGAGTGACCGCGAATGAGATAAACAAGCGATTCGCTCGGCTGAAATTATCCGTCACTTATCAAGGTCATTGGTGGAGTGAGACGCTCGAAGGTCATTTTCGTCCATATCAGTCGGCCATGTTGGATTGCAGTTCCGTAGCTGTTCGTCTACACGTTTGTTGTTCCGTTTATCCTGCCGTCATACACGACTTATCTTGTTGCGTAGTGTTCACAAATGTTGCGTTTCACCTCAATTTTTGTTTCCGTTGCTGTTAAAATGAATTATTTCTTTGGTTTTGAAAGTTTCCACTACCAGGTCAGTTCATTCATTTCGGTGTAATTGTTTCATACCTTGTATTTATGCGGCTTTCAGTGTTTTATTTGGTTTTCAGCTGTTAATGAATTGGCAATGTGTAGAATTTTTGGAAATCATGCACATGAAGATGTTTGGCTGACAGAAGCAGTTGTTTTCAATCCATTTATTGATTGCCGTTATTCTTGTTGCCTCATTTCATTACCTAAGATGTAGAAATCGTGAAAAAGTGTCTTTCTCGTTCATGTTTACAGCATGCAACAATCTGCGAGTGAATCTGTTACAGGGAACACCATCAGAGTTGACGTTAGCAAAGTTTTCGAGGAACAAATGAAACCTGGAAAATTTAGAACCTGGTCTGAATTTGAAACAGCTTTGAAGCTTTTTCAGAAGGTGAGCATAGTATTAGTGTGTCTATTGTCAGTTAACAAACACCAGATATATTGTCCGAGAATCTAAATTAAAAAAGGATAAGCCACATGTGAAGTATGCATATGTGGTGTTAGTATGTACTTTTGGACACAAAAGGAAATCTGAAAGCAATCACCTTCGCCTTAAAGGGTAAGTTATCTGTGGTTATTAATTTCTTATGGAGTAGATCTAAATACATTGGTTGCCCGTCAATGATACGCATCCGATATCATTGCAACAAATTGATCATATCATCTGTGCATATGATTCATAATCACTGTTGCACGAATGAATATTTAATGAAGGATGCAAGAGCACGCAAATTAGATGAGTCTGAACTCTCTATAGTTAAACCAATGATGTCTATTTCATCCGAACCTGAAAAAATTATTGATTACGTGGCAGAACGATTTAAAAAAGGATGACGTACAATGATCTACTAAATATAAGAGCTGCTGTAGTTGAAGGTAAGACTGATTGACAGCAATAACCTTTCAGATTGTGATTTACAGTCAGTTGTGTTTTCCAAATTACGTCAAGTTGGGAAGTTAGTTGTAATTCGGGATGAAAACAATGGAAGAATGAAATTAGCTTGTTTTAGTTCCAGTAGACAAATTGAAATTTACCACAAATTCCCTGAGGTCGTGGGTTTCGATTCCACCTACAACACTAATAGAGGAAAGTAGGTGTAAATGTTTTCTAGAACCAGTATTTGAAGTTATAAACTGTTTCAGTTTGTTGTTACAGACTGCCATGGAGAAGGTCTACCTGTTATGTTTGCATGGAGTAGACAGGAAAGGCTGGATGATGTGACGAAGATCCTGCAAACTTTTAAATCAATCATGGGTACAACTTCTTATACGGAAACTTTTGTCATGGACTGTGCAAAGGCCTTGAGGGTGCCGTTGAGACAACGCACCCACTTTGCAATATAATATTATGTGCATTCCATGTTTCACGTGCTATGCGTAAGAAGGTAAGTAATGTGAATTTCGAAGATTTTCTAGACAAAAATTAAACTTGTTAGGCAGTATGTATCGCGTATGATTCGCGAGGAATCAATTCATGGGTAAATTTTAGAACTGATCGTAAATTTATTTACAGATTCTACACATACCTCGGTCTCATACGGCATCTGGATCCCCGTTTTGCGACGTATATACACAGACGCTGGCTGCCTTTGAAGAAACTATGGGCAGCATCATTCAACCGTAATATTTTGTCACTTGGCAATAACACAAACAATCGCGTTGAAAGTTTGCACAGACTGATGAAAAGGAATTTGTCAAGAGCTGTTACTCTACACAAGTGTATGTGGGAGGTATACCGGTGGAGTGACAGGAGACTGAGGAGAATTGATGGCGAGCGAGATGTGAAGATTAGAGTGGTGGACAACAGGATACGTGGTTTGCAGGCCTTACTGTCAAAATTAACAGAGTATGCTGGAAGAAAGGTTGTTGCAGATTTTAAAACAGTAAGAAGGGCCCGCATTGACAACCGTATTTCTCAAAACGTATTTTTCGTCGACGGATTCACACATCCAGTAGTTGATATGGCAAGAGGCACTTGTACTTGCCGGGTGTTCACCACCTGTAGGTATCCATGTCGTCATATGGTAATTGCTCATCTCACTTATCCACATTTTGAAAGTAAGTCTGACGTACAATTACCTGACATTACAGTTGATCGTGTTCTGTAATCTACAGCTGATTTTTATGTTGACGCCGTATACATAAATATACATCATATGTTTTCCTGCATTTCAGGACTATATGCAAATTTCAAGGCAATCTCCGAAACATTCATACTATTGAGGCGTCATTCTCTCATCAAGCTTACTTGCAGATCAACTTCACACTAAACACTTTTACATGAAATGAAGTATTGCAAGTGTATAACTTAGGAGTTAATCCACAATCTCAGTAATGTCTAGTCCACAAGGTTTTGTGAATCCTACAGAAATCACATTTTCACATTTAGGAGACTATAGGCATCAAATATAAGCTGAACATGCCTCAACTCTAGACAGCTATGCACAGTGCTAACAACATAGTGAAACACTTCAACTATTGTAAAGTACACAGACCTGTTGTGTTGATGAGGATAATAATGTCATATAATGCAAACTAGAAAATTCAATCGTCATAGAGCATCTGTACTGCTTTGTCTAAATGGAAATCTCAGGAGAAATTCATCTCCACTATTGGTGATCAAAAATATTGTAGCATGAAGTATACAGTCAGTGGAAATTGTAAAAGAGAATAAATTCATATTAATGATAATAAAGCTGAATAGATTTGTAGGGGACTAATATTAGAGTTCACTAACATTCCAAATATAAAAGTAATAATCCAAGGCAGTGGAGTGTTAAATCACAATATATTACCAAAAATACAGTGACGAGTTATAGCAACAAAAAGGATTACTTGGTTATAAAGTGTAAGTCCTCGGCTACAAATTAATTATATAATCCACAGGCACGTTAACTGTTTGGACTGCGTCTGCTGTAGCTGCTGTGTTCCGGTTGTAGAAATGTCTTCGGATGAAAGTAGTAGGCTCCTACAATAAATCCAAAGTTACAACACGGTGTGAGTGGAGCAAATAAGTAGAGGTGACCAGGGAGAAGACAAAGTCTCCGACAGCAGAGTGTATTTTCCAATCGTACACGGAAATTATCTATATTTCAACAAGAAGCGATTTAAACAAAATTTATGTACAATATCTCGAATTTATACAAGTACCTAAAAAGTGTACAATCACATTGTTACGTACTCAACACGGCTCCCCCCCTAGAGGTCCGGAGAGACAACCGGAAAATGATACGTAAAACTATGAAGTAAGTAATAGTAGTAATAGCAACTTTTGGATAAAAATAGGGATATATTACAACATGCATAAACGCGAGAAGGTATGTGAATCATGTAAAGTCTGAAAGCATATACAATAAGTTCAGCAATAAAAATTGAAATAGAAAGTCATGTCACTTAAATTTGCACTAACCATGAACATAGATTTTTAATGTATAAAGAAAAATATGTAAATACACAGTAATTAAGGAGGGGAAAGAAACATTTAAAAAAAAAATATGGATTAAAGATCAGTAGTTTTTGGAAAGGACACTACCTGTTTTTTCGGTGAGGTACATATAAATAAATAATAGTGATAGTAACATCAAAGTTTACGACGAAATACTAACGGTCATGATGATAATGTCTAAACGAAAAAAATAATAATAATTTTTAATTATTTTTCTTTCGTTAGTCCTCAAAATGAACGTAGCGAGCCGGTTTACTGATTTGCCGACCACTACGTGTTTGATATGGAGGGAGGATAAGACTTGGTGCTGGTGGAGTGGAATCGGATGTTTGATTATTTGATTGCGCAGTTGCCGATGTAGATTCGAAGTCGTTGTCGGTGTATGCGGGTTTGATTCGATCAATGGAAATAGTCTCTCGTTTTCCATTCTTGTTCACTGTAAAGTGTTTGTCTGAACGTTTAATAACTTGAAAGGGTCCTTCGTATGGAGGTTGCAATCCTTTTCTGATGGCGTCGACTCGAATGAAGACGAATTTGCAAGTTTGTAGATGTTTGTTGATCTGATCTCTCCGGGGAGATTGTCGAGGTGCTGTTGGTTGAAGTTGAAGCATTTGTCTAGTTAATCGGTTAGTGAAGTCGGCAATGTTCACGTCTGTGGAATCGGCTGAGGGGACTAGCTGTCCAGGCAAGGTTAGGTTGGTGCCATAGACAAGTTGAGCCGGTGTACATCCTAAATCTTCTTTGATAGTAGATCGGATACCAAGTAAAATCAAAGGTAAGTATTCACTCCACTTAGATGTGTCATTCTGCGCCATCAGGGAGCTTTTCAGTTGTCTGTGGAATCTTTCCACTAGACCATTCGCTGCCGGATGATAGGCTGTTGTGGAGATATGTTTCACTCCCAGAAGTCTCGTCAGTTCGCGAAAGAGTGTCGATTGGAATTGAGGACCGCGGTCGGATGTAATAGTAGTTGGTACACCGTAGTTTGACACCCAACGGTCGAGAAAAACCAAGGCAACGTGTTCAGCAGCTATGTCGTTTAAGGGGCATGCAATAGCCCAACGAGTAAAGTGTACAATCACATTGTTACGTACTCAACAGATTCAGTTCTAGTAACCACCTTCGTTTGTTATCCTATCAGTCAGCTTAGAACACAATGGCACAATATTATTATAGTTGAGATATTTTTGTAAATTTAATTAACATAACCCATAGCACACTGCACCAACCAGTGCCAATATATATGAAATCCATTTAGAGATAACCTTTCAACTTACCATAATTCCTGTCCAACCACAGATAGAGTGAAAAGCACATCTAAATGACAACTTAGGTTCCCACCAACGATTCTGATAACATTTGCAGGTGATTTCCAAGTATTGAGAGAATTATTTTGTCAAAAAAGACTGTTCTTCACACGAAAATAGGCTGTACTGATATCCTGAGACATGAAGTCTTCATTGAATGATACTATGCCGAAAGATGCAGCTTCTACATGGAGTAAATGAGTGGTGTAAATGGCATTACCCTCTAACTATCCTATCTCCCTCATTACACCGACATTTTGATACATTCCATCTGAAACACTAATCATTGCAACCAATATGCTAAAAGTGTGTCGCAGTCAGATCACATGAGGCGGACACCAACATAACCAGCCAAAAAGTGGGAATTTCACTCGATCTAGATAACATATAATACAATTTTATTAAAAATTATTGGCAAAAAAAATTCCAAACGTAACTTCTAGAGTACGTGACGAATAAGTCCAGCCATTCGCTCGCTTGTGATTGGCCAGTTTGTCATTCGAGTTGAGGTAATTTCAAACATCATTTTTGTAAGGCATGGTAAGTTTGGCGGTTTTCTAATGTTCAAACCATGCTTGTCTACTTTCAGGTTGGCTGCGAAGTATGCAGGGATTGGTTACCCAAGACGAGGCAACGGTTGACCAATAGGAGTGCCCCTTCCCTCTTATCTAATTTTTTTTTAATAATAATAATAATAATCACTTTATTCCACAACAATAAAAATTTACAGCATGGAATTTTCAGCGTTTCTTTTACATATTGCAATGGTTTAGCTCTGTTTATAATTATATAAATATATAAAATGTTAAAATATTGATAGTTAATAGGAAAAAATAATAAAAAAATAAATAAAAATAAAAAACCCAACAAAATCATACCATTTCTAGGTCATAGTGAATAATAAATAAATAATATAACAAATAACACTTGCATTAATATGCATCATTTCATTTTATAGTTTAGTTACTGATTCAAAAGTTGTAAAAGTTCTTTTCTGATATTTGTCTCTTCACACAATACTCGTGCCAAATATGGAACGGTCGAATTTTTATATTTTGTAGTACGAGCATAAATGTTTATAAAATTTCTTCTGGTCTTACCCGAAGAGATACAAGGAAACAATTGTGAATAAAGAGGATGTTCACTATCAGATAAGATAACTTTAGCTAAGTGTTTACAAGAATTCATATGCCTATTGACAACAGTGTCATTTAGTTCAGTCAAAGGGATAGCACTGACCCTACTTACAGCCCTCAATGTTCTTCGTAGTATTATATGATCTTTCTTGAGTAGCCCAGGGAAGAATAATGGAGAACAATAAAGAATGATGGGCAAAACACATGAATTAATAAATTGTATGATAAGAGATTGAGTTATACCTGAGTGTCTCAACTTCTTTATGTAATAAGTCAGACGGAAAACTTTCTTAGAAACTATAAGAATATGAGACGACCAGCAAAGATTTGACGAGAAACTAATGCCAAGATAAGAAACACTTGACTTACTCTCAATTATGGTACCATCAATATTACTACAATCATGAGATTGAATCAATCTATGCATGTCTTTTTCACTTCTCAAGCTAAAATCAACAGTGTTACATTTAGTTGGATTTAGTTTAAGACCATTTGAGCGAGACCAATCCTTAACTTCAGCTAGGAAGCCATTCATATAGGAACAATCCGATGTGGCAACTACAGGGACAGAAACGGTCAGGTCATCAGCATACTTAATGAAGTTAACTTTGGGTGAGTTCGGAAGGTCATGCAGAAAGAAAGAGAAAAGAAATGGAGAAAGTACTGCACCTTGAGGCACACCACTTTCAGTTAGCTGTGAAGTGGAGCGCTTTCCAGCCAAAACAGTATGCTGTTTCCTATCCTTAAAATAAGAAGACAGCCATCTAGTTGCCCAGGACTCTGTTTGTGCTGAATTCATCTTTCCTAATAAAAGTGTCCTAGGAACAGAGTCGAAAGCTGCAGTATAGTCTAAGAAAGCTGTTCGAACGAACTTAGCGCCCTTATCAAGGCAGGAAACAATATTGTGGTGTAGTACAATGGCTGCATCTAATGTACTTCTTCCACACTTATAAGCAAACTGCTTAGGGTCATTAAAAGCTTTTAAAGAAGGTTTAAGAATATTCAAAAGAAGTTTCTCCATAGTTTTCAAAAAAGGAGATGTTATAGCGACTGGTCTAAATTTTATACCTGCTCCAGAAGATGATTTCTGTACAGGTACAACCTTGATTTCTTTCCAGTCAGCAGGTACCGTTTCCCTCTTAAATGATGCGTTAAAGATTTGAGTAAGAGGATGACACAAGATGTCTGCACACTTTTGGAGAAGAATGCTTGGTACACCATCTGGACCAAGGCTGTGTGTTGGATTTAATGACTTCA